CCCTAACTTTAATTAAAAACTAAAAACACGTGACTGGACACGGCTTTAGACGTCCCCCAAATTTGGCAGATCGCATATTGTGTAACAGATAGCGGTCTGGAATAATGAAGATCGATCCTAGAATAATCTGCAAAATTTTATTGGCTCATAGTCATACTTTTTTGACATGAAATTTGAACCTTCACGATATCTATTGATAACTTATAATTATATACCTGTAAAGTAGAAGACTTAACGATTCATAATCAATAGAAAATCAATTATAATCAGTTTTATTTAGCAAAATAGATGAGACCCCAAAAAAGGTAATTTTAAAGCCTTTACTTTTTGGTTCTTGAGTTTCTATGCTTTTACCGCTATTTTAAACGTTACAGAGACAGCAATATTCTTGAGAATAATAGAAAAGAAGTGCACAATTGTTCTACTGGGAGAATTTCTCAAAGCATTAGGACAAAAGAAAAAAAAAACCTCAATAACACCCGACAGTGCTGATCATAATACTTTATCTTGGGATCTTACTCATAAAGTGGATTAGAAAAAATAAGCGAAGTAATAAAGCACCTTGCAAGAATATCACGCCAACTTCCTTGGGTCTTAGAAAGAATAATCTTAGATCAAATGGGAATATATTGGCAGATGCATTTTGTAAAACATCAGAGGTTTCTTTGAATTTTGACCAGAATAAATTTGGATTGAAAGAAGCAAAATTCACTTTACAAAAACAGCACGCTAGCTTCTTTGAATTTAGAGAAATGTATTAACATTTGCGCTTTGTAAAAACTGAACTTTATTGTATGCTAATTCAAATAATCTTGGATCAGAAAAAAGAAGAGAATCTTGAATCAAGAGGTAACGTAACGTATACACTTTACATTTCAGTTTTTTTTTATAAAGTTTCTTTTTATTTTTTGTTTGATACTCAGATTTATTTCTTTTTTTGGATTTAAAAGCTGAAATATCAAATATATCAAGCGTGGTTTAGTGTCGTCTTAGAAATATAGTAAGAAATACTTCCATATTTAGATTATATTGTATCAAAGTATAAGTTCAGTTTAATATCCCTTTTCACCTGATTTCTAACGTTTTTCACATTTTTCACATGTTAATTTAAAACAACTGCTGAATCCTTAAAATATACGTACTTTGTTCCTTAAAAGCAAACAATCACCTAAGCTTTACGTCGCTACTACCAGCCCCACCCTTTTCTATTATTATAATACTAGCAAAATACGGGGTTTTTTTTATTAAAAACATTTTTTTTTTTAATATTTAGAAACGTAATCTGTAATTTGTTCTTTGAAATTATTTAATTTTTACATCGTTATTACTAGTCCCGTTCTTTTTTACCATAGCATATTTTATAATTTTTTTTAATTTGGGACATTATTCTAATAAAACCAAAGTTGCAGTATAAAAAAATATAAGCCAGACGGGTACAGTATATAATAGATTTTTATTTGACTATTCATCATAATAAACTTATTCTAATTTAAATTTTTTATTGTAGGATCAAGTCAACAACGTAAATGACGACCAGCATACGAACTACCTTGTGCTTTGGCTTCTTCGGTTTCATTACATGATGGTTCCGGATTGTTAGTATGTGAAACTAAAGAGCGATAAACAATATGGCATGCGGATAGTAACTTAGCAAAAAGTCGCCTTCCATTGTATAATAGTTTTTTTCCTGAATTAATTCAAATTCAAACACATTTAGAAGATTTTTCTTTATGTGAGAAGCATTATAATCAACTTATTGTGTCCGATTTCTTACGACAAGTTCTTACAAATGCGAATTACTCGCAACTATCTAAAAATAAACGACAAGCACATAGTCTTGATTTTGAAAATGAATTGGTTGAAAAGCAGGCTCATATAGAGCATGCTTATGAAATAGAAGTTGAAAAAAATACTTGCGAAACAGGCACCCAAACTGACGAGATTGGTAATAAAATAACCCGTGAGATTGGTATACAAGTATCTGATAATATGTCACATACTCTTGAAAATTATATTCATCTACTTCAAGCGCAATTGAGTATAAAAATAAATGAGATAGAAAACCTTCAAAAACAATTAGAATACGCATATGATTATGTAATAGAGAGTTGGGGACAAATTCAAGAAATAAATAAAATAAATAAAGAGCTATCCGAACAAAATAATACATTAAAATATAATTGGCAAAATCGTTATAATAATCAAAAAAAAAGAATTGACTCGATAATTCAGATTGCAAATTATGAACGCCAAAATGTTTATAATGATATTGAATCATTGATTTTAAATAAACAACGATTTTCTCTTAACAGTTTATTGAATTTTGTACCCGAAAATTGGTTAGCTAGTTGTAACTCAGTCGTTGTTAACTTCATTAATACGCTTACTCAAAATGATAATAACCGTAACTATACTTTAAATGAAAAGCTATTTAAAAAGATAGTTGCGATTGACACAATATATGGGTCAAGGCATAATAACTATGTGTCAGAAATAAATCTTGCCATGTCTGGAATTAAATATTCGCTAGCACGATCTAGAACAATTATTGATATCGACAGTCATATAATTAGTTCTGGAAGTTATACAAAATTCGTTAATTGGCTAGAATCGTTAGCCATTGAACAAGAACCTTTACCTAAGGGACTTCTATTTCTAGCTTTCGATAATGAACAACGAGGTCAGCATAATTATCTTGATCGTGGATATAATACAGTCATTTATCACATGGTTACGAGTTTCATTACACTAAATATGAATAAAAATGACCAAGCCCAATTTACGACTACTCCTTGGCTTTATGATTTACTAAATGATCAATAATATGAAAAGTTATATGATCTTATACCAGAGATGAAAGCAGAATGTGACCACGAATTAAATATATACTTAGCTTCAATTTTAGAAGAGCTTATCATTGAAAAAAGCTGAGAAATTAATACAATCGATCAAATTATGAAAAATCAAAAAGGCGTTGGAAGCCATTCAAAATGGTGCAAAAAATGCAACACGACCAATATAGATAATAAAAAACATACTTGTCCTCAGTGTAATGAAAAATTGGATACATTGGCCACCTTACAAGCCGAATCCACTGAAGAATTAACTCAGGTTGACAATAGTAAAACTTCTCAATCAGGAACTCCCATAATAAAGATCTATGAATATGCTTAAGATCAAAGAGCTTCTTATTTAAAGCATATTAGTATTACACAACAATCTAAACCCGATCGAGATGTTGTCATTCCAGAAATGAATGTACCAGATCCGTTGGAAGTTAATCCTAATTCGTTAAATAATGTCAAAGAAGTTTTAGAACATATACAAAGTATCACTAAAATAAATGAAGGGGAAAGAAAATGGTTACCTGTTATTTGTGACGGCATTCTCTACAATCTAGCACAAAAGATTAAAAATGATTTCCCATGGCTTATATTGATTCCCGGAGCCCTGCATGAAGAAATAAACATGCTTAAGGCATTTGTAGAGCTAAATTAGTATTATTCCTTCAAGTGCATATCTCAGACGTTTTTTCGTTTGATACTTAACTTTTACTAATGCATTTTTAAGGCTGATTGACATCAAGCAATTCGCTATTCTCCAAGGATATAGAACTGAAAATCAACTTAGATTTTTTAAAAAATGCGCTGACCATCACAAATCATGGGACTCTATTTGCAATATTTACTGATATGCAATGGCGTATAAATTATTATAGCCATACGTAGTCGCAACTAATGATCTTTCTGTTAACGGCTATCTAAATTGGGCAAAAGTACAAAATGACCACATATATAAACTAAAATTTTAACAGGTAAAATTTTAAAAAAATTCATAAGTATCTAAAATATAACTAACAATTACTAGTATTATAGATATTTACATACCTTCAAGCAATCATTAACTTTCATATAGGTGTTAGAAACAACTGGCCATTATTGGTGAATGCTGCTCAACGTACATTTGCACCAATATGGTCTGGTCGTAGACACCCTATCTACCGTTTAATTGAGGTATCTTATGAGGTGCAATTGATGCGGTTAAATCCTGAGATTAGACAATGTATAGAGTTATATTCGGTCATTTCATGATTAGGTTATTCTAACCAGCATCAAGGCCTTGATGCCATTCTTGAAGAAGTAAATAAGTCTTTAAAAGCCCTAATCCCACCCGTACCTTCACAAAAATATTGGAGAATAGCAGCACGGAATTGTATGAAGTTCATAAAGGTCAGCAAAATACACCTATTTTTTTTTTTTAAAAAAAAAAAAAAAATTGTATTTATTTATACTTACTTTTTGAAATAATGATTAGTTGCGTCATATATTATTTAATATGATCGGACACAGTGATAACGAATCACCGGGAGGTCGGTCACACCCTGATTATATTTCAGAGTCGCAAAAATTTTGAGTTCAATTGCGAAAAATGGGATTTTTGAATCCACAAAGTAATAATCATGCATTTAAAAGTCTTGGAGAGGAGTATTCACTTAGTGAACAACTAAAAAATTTCAGTAGCTTGGCATGTGAAAGGCGAATAACGTTTATTAACAAGGCTTTTAAAAATAACAAACAAAGTGTCTTACCTTGGCCAATACCTATTACTGCACAAGAAGAAGAAGCAGCTATGAGCGAGGAAAATATGAAGAAAGACGATCTTTTAATACTTATTCATTCATTATTGAATTCTATCAATATCTCTGATCATCCAAAATATCGGGTTAAAGCAAAAGAATCGTAGCCAATTGCTAGAGATATTGCAAAGTATTAAAAATCTGCACAATGACCAAGACGAACCTGAAAATGAGATAGAACCAAAGAATAAATAATTATAATTATTAATCGATGTTGACAATGTATCGTTGTGCCAATAACTGCTTCGAATTTATCAAAAATTAATTTAAAAATACGTGTTACTTACTTGAATACATATGGGCTAGGTGCTGGAAAAAGGGCCGAAAGACAATTTTTTTTCGAGTTATCATTTTTCACTTAAGATACAAAAGTAGTTGTATTAATAAAATTTTGCAGTATGGCTCTTTAAAGTTTGCATTTTCTTATGATTTATTATATAATTTATAATATAAAAATTGATTTTCAGATCTTTTTTTTTTGTCATTTTCGGCCCTTTTGTAGAAGTACAGCATCGTTATCAATGAAACACATGCTTCATGGATTGATGAAAAAATTATATATATTCAGTAACGAGTAATCCATATAAGTTTAATTAAATTACTTCGTGGAACTAAAAATGGATTTACTTCAGAATCATTTTGGAAATTATGTGATAGGCAAACAAATCTTGTAGCTATGAAGGTTATTAAAGGTACAGATGAAATCATTGGTGGCTATAATCCTATCGGATGGGATGGATCTTATATGAATTGCGAAGATAGCTTTATTTTTTTCATTGAAAAATGGTGCCATTCGAGATTCTATTTTAAGCCGTGTAAAACAACCATCAAATGCAATTTGCTGTTATGATGCCTATGGTCCAAGTTTTTTGGTGCTGGCCGTGATTTTTGTTTATGTCGAATATTTCCAATCAAGATAATTTCCAGCACCTAGCCCATATAATCTCATCCTCAATTACGCTTTCAAAGATCAAATGAGCCACTATTCTCATAAAGAATAAGTCTAGATCATATTTATTCGGTTACTATTGTAAGAGACTACAAGAAAAAGATTACAAGATTAGTGTTTTTCAGAGCTTAAAGGCAACGATCTTGACGATCCGGGAATTCCAAGTTCTTGCACCACTAAAATTTTAATAAACTTTAATAAAGAACGTTATACTTCTCTCTTTACGGTGTTTGTTCTTATTGTGGGATTATAAAAAAACTAGTGTACGTTGCTGTATTAACTCGAGTAATTCCTCTGCGCATTCTAGCATTCTACTGTTCTACATGAGAAATTTGAATCATAGTATTTTTATTATTTTTATTCTAATACTCTGAGCCGTATGCGTACAAACAGAAAATTCATTTTCACTCATACCTAATAGCACAGTTACTAATGCGAATCGGGTAAAAAAATTAGACTCTTCGCAGGTACGTACGTACGTACATATATACGTACTATATAGCCAATCAAATTTAGTTTTATTCTAATTATTCTAGAAAATTTTTGTGTAGCTGTACAGTGCAGATCATTGCGATATTCGGAATGCCAAATTTGGGGTCGTCTAAAGCCGTGTCCATCACGTGACCTAAAGCCAATAGAATTGTTTATTTTGATCGACACGG